GATGATGATGATGATGATGATGATGATGACGGAGATGATGATGATTGAGCTGATAGAGATGATGATGATGATGAAGATGATGATGATTGAGACGATAGAGATGATGATGATGATGATGATGATGATGATCGAAATGTCTCCGTGATGGTTTGCACATGGCGATTGCGGATTCTCCTTCTCTCATCATCTTCACCTGGGCTCAGAAGTACATTATCCAAGTGACGATCTCCTGGACATCAGCAAACGTTCAACCCCCCCAGCACCATGACGTGTCACTCTCATCTGTGACGAGTTTACCTACTCCCAGCAAGTAGGTGACGACACAATATCCTGCTGAGCTCTTGACGTAATTGTCCATCACCTGCACACATGACATCTTGTCAAGAGGCTGAAGGGTTTGATTGCTCATCGTCCCTTCAATCATCACCAACAAAACAACATCACCATCAGCCTCCTCCTCCTCATCATCATCATCATCCTCTTCTACTCATTTGTCATGACTATCTCCCTCTCCCTCTTCATCCTCGTTGTCATCGATTTCTCCATCCTCATGTTGATCCTCGACATCAACCGCTTCTCCTCCAGATCGTTCTCCTTGTCATCCTCATCCATATCCTATTCGCCCTCCTCCTCCTCTTCCTCCTCCTCCATCATCGTCTTCTACATGTCTCGTCAGCTTGTCCCTCATCATCATCACAAGTTCCCTCATCCAGCACATTCATCTCCTCCTCATCTCCTTCATCGCCTACCTCCGCTGCGATCCCAAACGGGCCCGACCGATCGGGATGGTGCTGACGTAGAAACCTGACCACACCTCTCACCCTCTCCGTCGTCCCTCCTCCTCCTTTACATCCGAATGTCCTTCCCGTACTCTGCTAGAATCTTTGACAGCGGGTATGAGTCCACCCGCTCCACCATCCCTGACAGAAAACCTCGCCGTCAGGTCTCCACTTGCCTCCTCCTCATCCCACCCCCGCCTCCTTCCTCCCTCCCCCCCCTGCTCTACCTGTCGAAGGTGACGTCGCAAGCGCTCGGTAAGGCGTCAGCTTCAGGTCAAGTCCGGAGTTCTTCAGCTCCCTGACACTGTCCAGTCACAAGCACAAGACAGCAACAACTCATCCCCCTCCTCCTCTCCCCCGCTGACGACCCCCCTCATACCCCTCTCATCCCAGCATCTCTCGCCTACCTGTCCATCAGCCTCAGCATCTGCAACACCAGCTGGTCCTGACGGAGGTCGTCGCCGTCCTTGAAGATGATGCGATACTTGTACTGGATGCGATCAGCCGCCTTCACGTCTGGTTGCGGCGTGTTGGTCAGGAACGAGATCCCCAGCGGCATCATCGCGCTCTTGAAGACCTGCAAGCCCATGAGCTGCGCGTCATCAAGACAAGAGCAAGGGAGCAGCAGCACACTCTCACGACCAGCTCGTGACCGCCATGACAACACAGAGCCTTCTCCTCGTCTCCATCACCTCAGCGTCTTCCGCATGCAGACCGACGGCGATGATGTTGGGGTTCATGTTGAGACGTACTCCTCCTCCTCCTCCTCCTCCCGCTGACCCTCCGGCAGACCCGAAGATCATCGAGTGGGTCGAGGCCAGGGCTGACTTGAGTCGTTCTACCTTCCTCTGCCTGCTGTCTCTCATGTTCTTGATCTCTTGCGCGAGCTTCGTCAGGAAGGTAACAAGGTCGTGCTGCTGCTCTAGCACCGTGATGATCGACCTCCCCTTCTCCGTGCTCTCAAGCTTGTTCATCAGCTTCCTCTGCGCTCGCTCATAGTGCTTCTGCCGCCCCCGCGCCTCCTTCCCGTCCGCCTCCACAAGCTGCTGGCAGAAGATGTACCAATGGAGGTAGTTGGCGATCTCCAGGTTGTTGCTCGCTCGTTCGATGAGCAGGTTCAGCAGGCTGTCGCCCCCCTCCCTTCCTCCTCCCTCGTATCGCAGCGCCTGCACCAGCTGCAGCAGATAGCCGAGCAGCTCCTGGTCGTCCGCGATCGCCACTCTCCTCGCCGCTGCCTCCCTCACCTTGGGGTGCGTGAAGGCGGCTGACAGCATCTGCAGCGCGTCGTTGATGTCGATCGTCACCTGCTTCTGCCACTCCTGCAGTAGATCCACCGCCTGGTCCGCCTCCTCCTCGTCATTCCAGTCCACGCAGATCAAGCACTTGGTCAGAGCCTTGTTCTCCTTGGTCAGAGCAAACCGGTACCGCCACAGCAGCTCCTTGTGCTCCACGTTCATCTTCACCCCTGTCAGGTCTGCCCAGTCCCATGGGGCCTTGAGGAGAGTTTCTATCTGCCGTCGCTCCTCCGCGTCAGGCTGCAGGTTGCGGTCCTGGTGAGCCCTGTGCAGAGATCGCGCGAGCTTGCGATGCTTGTGCTCGACGGGGTTGTCGCACCCGAGCTCAGGATCGGGCAGCAGCGAGTTCCCTCCGCTCGGTATCTGCGTGTAGGGCCTGACCCCGTACATCACCGTCCGGTCCCACCTCTCCATCTCAACCGTGATGGTCGGGCGACAAGTCCCGTCTCCGACGTCCTTGTTGAGCTGCTGGATCCTCCTGAAGGCAAGCACGTCCAGCCATGGCACTCGCTCCATCGCGTTGCGATCGTACCGCTGCATCAGCTTCTCCAGCTTCTCCATGCTCGGAACGCTTCCTCCATGCTTCTTCAGCGCGTGAGGCGGAGGCGACAGCTGCTGCGCGTCCATGGTCGTCTCGTTGCCATGGTAGAACTCCACCTGGATCTTCTTCCTCCCGCTCTTCAGCCGTCCTTTCTTGCTGAACAGCCTGAACGACGCTTCCCCCAGCGACACGTACTTCCTCGGAGCATAGAGCGCTCGCAGCGTGAGGTGGACGGCGGCGTCCCTAGGAAGATGCCAGTACCTCACGTGGTTGAAGGTCAGCAGGTCGTTCCAGCGACACTGGTTCCCGTAGGATGTGTAGCATGTGCGGGAGGGAAGACCCACCGCTGTCTCTCCCTCCATGATCTGAGCTTCCACAAACAGGTTGGCGAGGAGACTCTCTGCATTCTCGGGGTGGATGCCGCTGGTCAGGTCCTCCTTGCTTCCTTCGAAGCTGTCGATCTTCAGTCTCAGAGGTCCGGCTGCCTCCATGTCGCACGTCAAGATCACGTCTCCTACTTCCTCCTCCATTCGTTCTTGCGTTGGCGAAGCAGAAACTTTGAAACGTCGGTTCCGGTTATCGACAGAGCTCAATCACTTTCAGATGCCAGCGCTTCTCACTACTATCTCTCTGATTCATCATCATCATCAATATCCTCTCCTCTTTCTTCTCTTTCAGTCTCTTCTTCTCCTTCTCTCGCATCTCCCTCTCCCTCCCGTCTTCCCTGCCCCGGCATGACGTACGATGTGCAGGCAGACCCCTCAGAGCTCTCGGGCCCGGTACTTGCTCCGATTCAGTCGGACCGGGCCTCCCATCGAGGACTGTCACTGAGAGAGTTCATATATCTGGGAGACCTTTGCTGGGAGCGCGGCAGGATGGCGGGAGGGACGCAAGGAGACGGAGCGAGCAGCAGCATCAAGCCTGCCATGGAGGGATACGTGCAGAAGAGGTTTCACTCTCTCCTCAAGACCTTCTCAGACCTCCAGGCATGGAGCAGCAGCCCAGTCTCTCAGACCGAGCGCTTGCTAGACAAGCTCTATGCCGGCATGCAACGAAAGACCACCCGCCTCATCAGCATCATCGACCTGGAGGGCCAAGACTCGCTCCTGGAGCGGCTCCTGTGCTTCAGAGAGGAGGAGCGGCCGGATGACGAGCTCTGCCTGCACGTCATGACCTCAGAGAGCTGGGGGGCTCGTAGCAAGGACGAGGCTGTCTCGGGCCGGGCGACAGGCGGGAGCTTGACTCGTGCTAGGATGAAAGCGATAGAGAGGAGAGGAGGGAGAGGATCTGACAGCAGCACGAGACAAGAGACACGCAAGGCGGATGAAGCCGTCTTGCTTGGCGAGGGAGGAGGCGGTGACGACGAGGGTGCTGGGGAGCTAGTCAGGCGAGTGATGGAGCTTGCTCTAGAGGGAGGTAGAGCGGACGAGAGCTTCTCGAGGCGCAACAGGTAAGAGCGTAGACAAGAGGAGGAGGGCGTGAGAGGAGGGTACGGGAGTGACTCGATGTGTTGCTAGCGCTCTGTCAGGTCAGTCGACGTATCGCTCCCAGAGCTTCGAGGACAGTCGGACGGAGCGGAGCTTCGAGGCAGACTTGATCTTCCTGGAGCATCCTTGGGTGTACGGGCTGTGCATGGGGCTCAACGACTACCAGGGAGAGCTCGAGCCGCTTGCGAGGGCCGTGGAGGATGCGACGGAGCTGCATGAGAAGCTCTGCTCACTCCCGCAGTGTCACTCGGTCTTGAGCTCGAACCCAACTTTGTCCGCGATGAAGGGGTGCCTGAGGAGGAGTCTGAGGGAGCTAGAGGGAGCGTGTCCGGAGCTGGTGATCTTCTTCTACGCGGGCCATGGCATCTACGAGTCAAGGAGCAAGGATCAGATGTTGGTACCGACGGACGTGGAGGAAGTGAGAGGGTTATCATTCCGGGAGATGGGTGATAAGATGCTGTCAATGAAGGAGGTTTTCAAGTTCTTCAGAGACTTTGAGCAAGATGTATCAGGATATCATCCGAGGGTGCTTGTGGTCATAGACGCTTGTCGGGACAAGATCGAGGGAGTGTCAGAAGGTCTGCCGCAAGATCCGGAAGTGAAGGCGCTGCCCAAGCATTGGACTCTGCTGCTGACATGCGGCAAGGGCAAGACAGCAAGCGACAAGTCGAAGCTGTTTGAGTCGCTTCTGGATGCAGAGACAGGGATGTTCGCTTGCAACAGACCGCTTGACAGCGTCTTACTAGACTGCGCGAGGAGATGCAAAGAGACACAACCTTGTGTATCGATGAACGTTGATGACATTCCGGGAGGCTTCTGCCTGGTGAGCGACGGCGAGGCTCTGAGAGACATCAGGAGCAGTACAGCTGCACTGCATGCTGCCAAGGATGTCGTATCGAGCTATCCTCCCCTCACAGACACGTCCAAGGCAGACACGTACGTGCTGGCTTACAGCCCTGAAGACGCCAAGTCTTTCAGAGACAAGGCGATAGCGGCGGTGAAGTATGTCCTTGGAGAGCAGCGAGCGGATAGTCCGCGGTGGAGGGTGTGCTCGATCGTGCTGATGTACTTCCTGCGATACGAAGACACGAGGTTCTCTACCCGAAGGCTGCTAGGGAACTTCCTGACAAAGGTCAAAAAGAATCTCGTAGGCCCCGAGCTGGTCAAGGACGTGCTGGAGTATATTGGTCGGAACAAGATCTCGTCGCAGTCGTTCGATGCATGGAAGGCAAGTCAGACAGGTCGCAGCATGTCGGACGACAAGCTGCTCATTGCGATCTTGGACTACACGATCAGCAAGGAGATGGGCAGAGTGATATCAGACCCAGATGAGCGAGATGAAGCATTGGAGATATGGAGCAGGGTGATTGATGAATGCTTGGACCCGTCGGTGTCATGGGAGGACGGGATGGATAAGATCGAAGAGCATCTACGAGAAGAGATGATGCCTGGAGGTGGTCAGGAGGTCTTGTTCTACTTGTATGTGCTGGAGAGAGCCGTTCACGCCAGAAGCTACGTCATGATGCTGAAGATGACCAAGCTTAGCAGCGTGTTCTTGCACTATTGTCTACTCCAATACTATCACAGCAAGCATGAGAACGACAGACACGAGCTGGAGGGCTGGAGGACGTGGATCAGCAGCACAGGCTGGGTCGTGAGGAGCGACGGGTACAGGACAGACTGGAGGGAGTGCGAGGAGAGCTGGAGCGAGGAGCTGAGAGAGGGTTTCCGAGGGCTGGAGGAGTGCGAGAGGCCTGGAGGGTATAGGAGCTTTGAGGCGTTTGTGAAGGAAGGGAAAGGTAAGGTAGAGGCGATAGACTACGATCGTCTAAGCCATGCGCAGGTGAGAGCAACAAGAGAAGAAGACTGACGACCGGCGGCTCGTCTGCGGCTTCGGCTTCTAGGGTAAGGCCGGATGTACATGTAGCCGTGAGGTATGAGGGTCTGACGCATGAGGGCAGGTGGGGTCGGATAGTCTAGACGAGAGGAGGAAGCATCGAGACGAGGAGGCGAGCGAGCAAGCTATGATGACGTCAGCACATGAAACGATTGAGCATGGGCATGGGCATGAAGGGGGTGATCACGACAAGCAGCAGGTGACTCTGACGCCAGGCCTGACAGCAAGCAAGAGACAAGAGAAGGAGAAGCGAAAGCCAGAGGAAGGAGAGGCCGATAGGCTACATGACGAGCAGAGGAAGAAGAGAAGAAGACAAATCGAGGGAGAGGAGGCGCAAGCACTAGTCAAGCTATCGCTAGACCAGGGAGATCAACCCGACGAGCCGAAGGAGAGAAACCAAAGTCAACGCGAACACGCGCAAGAAGCTCAGAGCAGACCAGCAGACAAGGCTAAGGCGGACTCTGAGGTCGTTTTACAGCTGCTGCATGAGCTTGAAGAAGCTTCAATCCCCGAGTCAGGCAAGGCGAAACAAGGCGAGGACTCGTCATCGTCAGACTCAGGTCGGTGGGCGCTTCCTCCTGACATGCGCGACACGCTCCAGGTCTTCTACCTCAGTCGCTCCCAAGACTCGGACATGACGGCAGGTCACGCACAAGCGAGCGAGCTCTGCCTGGGTCTCAATCTGCCGGCCGACCTCCTCACGCGTCTCGCTGAGACATGCAGTAGTGTCGATGAGTACGAGAGGACGATCGCGAGGGAGTGGGAGCTCGGGCGCAAGCAGGACATGCTCGCCCGGCCTGACGTGCTGCGGAGGATCGCAGAGCAGATCGGCGGAGGCAGCCCGAGGTCTCCCTTATCAGGGCTGCTAGCGAGGGAGACGAAGGAGGCGTGCGGTAGACGCATTGCAGACGTGCTCGAAGCCGTCCAGGTGACGTCATCGGATGCAGTTTCAAGAAGATCGGCAGCATCAGCGAGAAGGTCAAGAGGGAGGTCAGAGGGAGGGAACGCGAAGTTCTCGATCGAGGAAGGAGAGGAAGCTATCTTCGGGAGGCTGGAGGAGTTTCACGGGGGCCTCATCGAGCGCATCGGGCTGCCCAGCACAGACCTGTGGAAGGGGCTAGAGGACGAGCACTGCCACAGGAAGGACTCGGAGGAGCCGTTCACTCCGCCCAACCACAACGAGGTCACGACGCCCAAGCGCGAGTGGGGGGCCGTGACAGACCCGAGCATGCGGCGGCAGCTCTCGCAGGGGATCAGACGCATCCGCGACGTGGAGGGCTTGATGGCGGAGGAGCGAGTGAAGGAAGCAGGGCTGCGGGAGGAGGAAGTCGTCGCGCTGCTGCTCTACACAGGTAGAGGATGAGAGACGTGTAGACGCGTAGAGGTGCGACGAGAGCTGACAGACGCGGTTGACAGGCCCCATGTACTACAAGTACAACGCGGTACTTCGACTTCCGGAGTCGCACAAGGTCAACAAGTACGTCACGACCCTGCACTGCGTGGTGAGCGGGGTGATCAAGCTGTCCAAGACCACGAGGCTGCCCTCGTCGCGGGTTGTGTACCGGGGGCTCAAGGGCGTGCGGATGCCGGCGAGGTTCGTGGAGGAGGACGCGCGAGGGGTGTCAGGGGGGGTGGAGTACGGGATGCTTAGCACGTCGACGGAGAGGCAGGTGGCGCTGCAGTACGCCAAGGAAGGCTCGCTGCCGACGGTGTTCGAGATCAGCTGCGGGGCCATCGACCGGGGAGCGGACTTGGAGCTGCTGTCGCAGTACCCCGAGGAGAAGGAGATCTTGTATCCGCCGCTGTCGTACCTGGAGGTGGTGAAGCAGCCGCGGGTGGAAGAGACAGACGGGATGCTGGTGCGGGTGGTGCCGCTGAAGATCAACGCGAACTTGACGTGCTCGACGATAGAGGAGACTCTGGGGAAGCGGAAGCAGCTGTTCATGGCGCTGCTGGAGAACGTGGAGGAAGAGATCGGGCGAGACCTGGAGGGCATGATGCAGTCGCAGCGAGTCAAAGATCGGATGGCAGATGCACCCTTGGATGTGATGATGAACAATCATCACGACCTGCGTGTGTCGATTGTGGAAGAAATCAAAGAGGTCGTGAGGAGATACAAGGAGCAGGGCGAAGCTTGGTACAACGACGATGAAAACTATGTACAGGCCATGGGAGAAGCGACGAGACTGAAGGATATGGCGATGAACAAGATCAACTTCTGGCTTGACGGTACTGGAGACTTTCAATGCGAAGACATCAGAGCAAAAAAGATGAAAGATCTCTACATGACGAAGATATCAGACTTGCATCGCAGAGCTCTGAGCGATACGGGTGATCAAGACGGGCAGAGGCTGGCGGAGCAGTTCTGTAAGCTTCAGGGGATCTGGCGAGGTCAACAAGACTCGGAGCTGGAGTCTCCGATCTTCATGGCAGTGCGGCAGGGGCAAGCAGACCTGATACCGATGATCTGCCGGGCAGGAGGGAAGATGACGGAGACCTTGAGCAACGGAGACACGCCATTGCACGTGGCAGCCAGACAAGGATACAAACTTTGCATGCAAGTGCTTGTCAAGCATGGAGCTAATGTGTCCACGACGAACAGGAACCGGCGGACATGCGCGCACTCGGCGTGTGAGGAAGGGCATGTAGAGGCGGTACGGTACTTGGGGGAGGTAGGGGGCCGGGAGCTGCTCGCCCAGCCGGACAAGGAGGGCACGACATGCGCGCACTTGGCATTTCAAACAGGGCATGTAGAGGGGATACGGTACTTGGGGGAGGTAGGGGGCCGGGAGCTGCTCGCCCAGCCGGACAAGGAAGGGAGGACCTGCGCGCACTTGGCGAGCATGGGAGGGCACTTGGAGGCGGTACGGTACTTGGGGGAGGTAGGGGGCCGGGAGCTGCTCGCCCAGCCGGACGAGAACGGATTGAACTGCGCGCACTGGGCGAGCTTGGGAGGGCACTTGGAGACGGTACGGTACTTGGGGGAGGTAGGGGGCCGGGAGCTGCTCGCGCAGGCGGACAACCAAGGGAGGACATGCGCGCACTGGGCGAGCATGGGAGGGCATGTAGAGGCGGTACGGTACTTGGGGGAGGTAGGGGGCCGGGAGCTGCTCGCCCAGCCGGACAAGGAAGGGAGGACATGCGCGCACATGGCGAGCGAGGGAGGGCACTTGGAGGCGGTACGGTACTTGGGGGAGGTAGGGGGCCGGGAGCTGCTGGGGCAGCCGGACAGTCAAGGGAGGACATGCGCGCACATGGCGAGCGAGGGAGGGCACGTAGAGGCGGTACGGTACTTGGGGGAGGTAGGGGGCCGGGAGCTGCTCGCCCAGCCGGACAATCAAGAGAGGACATGCGCGCACATGGCGAGCGAGGGAGGGCATGTAGAGGCGGTACGGTACTTGAGGGAGGTAGGGGGCCGGGGACGGCTGCTCGCGTCAGCCGGGACCGTGTACGGGAGGACATGCGCGCACATGGCGAGCAGGGAAGGGC